GAATGAAGAAAAAATTATACCACCGTGGACCCCAAACAGGTCAAACAACAACGAATCCTTCACATTTGTCTCCCACCTCTGGGCTGCTGTGTCCGTTTGCCTTACAATCCTTTACATGTGTCTCCTTTTGTTTCCTTCTTGTCTCCCTTCTTGTTGGTCATTCTGAACGCCTTGTCTCCCTTCTCTCTTTCTTTGTCTCCGGTCTTGTCTTTCTTCTTGTTGGTCACTGTGTCCGCCTTGGTTCCTTTCTGTCTCCCCTTCTTGTTGGGATTGTGTCCGTCTTGTCTCCCTTCTGTCTCCCTTTTGTCTCCCCTCTTGTTTCCCTTTTCAGCCCAGAGCTGGAGACAAATGTAAAGGATTGCATCTTGTCTTCCTTTGTCCCCGGTCTTGTCTCCCTTCTTGTGGGTCACTGTGTCCGCCTTGTCTCCCTTTTGCTTCTTGTCTCTCTTCTTGTTGGTCAAGGTCTCCGCTTTGTCTCCCTTCTTGTCTCCCTTTGTCTCCGGTCTTGTTTTCATTGTTGTTGGTCATTGTGTCCGTCTTGTCTTCCTTCTGTTTCCTTTTGTTTCCCTTCCTGTCTCTCTTCTTGTTGGTCATTGTGTCCCTTCTTGTTTTGGTGGCCTTCTTATTTCCCTTCTTGTTATATTGTGTCCGCCGTTGTCTCCCTTTTTGTCTCCCTTCTTGTCTCCCTTCTTGTTGGTCACTGGGTCCGCCTTGTCTCCCTTCTGTCTCCTTTTGTCTCCCTTGTCATTGTGTCTGCCTTGTGTCCCTGCTGTTTCCCTTTCTATTTCTTTCCTTGTTGGTCATTGCGTCCGCCTTCTGTGCCTGCTGTCTCCCTTTGTCTCCAATTTTATATCCCTTCTTATTGGTCATTGTATCTGCCTTGTGTTGTCCTGCAGCAAGGCGGACACCCTCAGAAAGCATTGAGAACCCCTAATACTAACCTATTTGGGAAATTGAGAAATCACTTGGGAGACAAATGAATAGGAATGCTGCATGGCCAGCGGAAAAAGGTGGATACCATCAAGGCAGGCACCGAACCTGGGAGACAAAAATGAAGAAATCACATGGGAGACAAATGAATAGAAATGCTGCGTGGGCAACGTCAAAGGGCGGATACCAATAATGATAGAAAGGACGGACACATCTTAAGAAAGAATTGAACCCCTAACAATAAACTGTTTGAGCTGATGGTTTCCTTGGTGGACGGTTTCAAGACCTTCGCCTGATGGCCCCCTATCAGATAATTCCAGCCATTGGAAGGTGTCAAGATGTGCTTCGATTGCAGGGCCTTAATCAATTTGTTGTTGTTTGAATCGAAGGGCAATTTGGCCGTCCGAGTCGCTAGCTCTTCGAACACGGTCCGGAAATCAATTGTCTCAGCGGCTTAGCCCTGCTCCCGTTATCCAGACCAATCTTTGGACAACTTCAACATCTGGGGCAGGATGGAGCCACGTCCCGCCTGAACGAAGAAGAGAAAGATTCTGTCCAGATTCAACTGATTAATTTGATCCTCCTCTCTGAGGGTGAACTTGGCGAACATAATCCCGCTTGCTGAAGTGCGAGCCCCCACAAACCTCCACGAGGTCGGCAAAAGATTGATCGTTTGCGTTCATATGCCCCATCTCGGATGTCCAATGAAATTTTAATTCAAAGAACAGAATTTGCAGATATTACATTTGCAATCGCGGAGAATCATGAAATGCCAAGGCTTCAAATCTGACCAACATTTTTTTGTGAGATCCACGTTCAATAGGCAGGGATCACCAACGTGCAAACTTGTAGAAATTGAAATTGTGGTGCATCTTCAAATCGAACCTGCGGAAGGTCGAGGATATGGGCAAACCTGGGAGAGAAAATCATATCCCAACGAAGACGGACTTCAGGCCAACATGGGACAGGAACATAGAGTGTCATCCAACTTTGTGGGCCATGAATGATTTAAATCCTCTGTCAGATCTCGTGACCACTGCAGGCTAAGAAGGCGGATTGAAGAAATCATCAAGATCACCTAGCTCGGTCTGTGAAGAGGCGCCAGGTTTTTTTTGACCCTGGGGCGAATCTCCTGTCGAATAGGAGCGTGAGACTTTCATCATCACTGGCGTGATCGGGAAATGTTCGGGTTGAAAGGTCTGCCCCATCATGATGGCCAATTGATTTGTCATCCTATATTCCTGCGAACGAATGTTTCGGCACTCACGGTCGCAAAAGCTGCAACGTCTAACCCCCTCCTGCCAATATTGGACAGACTAATAATATCTTCTTTGTAGTGGTTGGCAAGAGGCAAAAACTCTTGGCGTTATTCTGAATAATGCTTGTGAATCGAACGTGCCGCTATCTGGCACTGGCAATAGGCGCAGTGCTGGGCTAGTTCGACTATCAAAGCTTTGTCGAACAAAATGCCAGGGATGGATTTATGCCTTAAATGCATCCTGAATGCTGGTCGTGCAGCGATAGACACGACGGATAATTAAATTCTTTTGTCAATATGGTAACGAAATTTTTTTGAAATCAATAAAAGAATGCGCGCAATGGGTTAAATCTGATTTTGCATCCCAAGCATCACGAAGAGGCTAAAATAGATCATCCACTGCATATGGGGTACCCGCCTGTTTGAAAGTCCGGTGACATTCCGGGCATGCCATTTCCTGAACCGGTATTAGTAAATCAAGGATATCCGATAATATGGATAAATTCCAAAATCTGGAATAGAGACTTAAATATCCGATGATATTTCAACGAAAACATAAAAAATACGATCTAGATAATTATCGAACCTTTTCTATTAAGGACATATCATATATATTTTCCTTAAATAAATTCAAATAAAATCAATGACACCAAAGAACATAATAAAATTAAAAAAAATATCATTACAATCAAATTATGCCACGCGACTCTATAAAAAAATATGTTACGGCGATATTGGTTTATATCAATATATATATTAATAAATACATATAAATATCATAAAATAAATATTTATATATAAACCAATTATAATATACCAAATCGTCTTATATCAAAATTACATACCTTCACCCAATATATTAAAATCACAATAATCAATCTCTGAAGAACATATTACAAAAAATACATATTATATTTTACCGAATAATAAATAAAAACAATATATACTATATAATAATATTCAAAGATATAGTAATATATAATCACATAAAAATATAGAAATACAAAATAAAATATCATTTCATAAACCGATCATTTTCTCTCCCAATTACCGAATATATATACGCGTCATCGAACCCCCATTATACAAAAATCGTCGCAACATATCAATATCGAATACTATATATATATATATTTTACTATTGTTATTCTCGGCCGGCGGAGGGATCTCCGTCCATATTGTTTCGTAAACAACTACCCGGACGGCAAATGCATAATCTATAATAGGCAAAAAATAAGTATAAATAAATTCCAATTATTTTATTATATACAAGAAACAAGCCCGACATAACCACAAGCCAAAACAAATAAATCTCCTAATGCATCTATAATATATAATCATAAGCAATAAGATTCCTACTATCATATTCAAATTATATCCTATTCTAAACAATAAATTCAAACCGAACCTCCCAGCGAGGTTCTTACATCCCATCAACAAATAAATAAATAATATAATATTATCAATCCTTTTCACAAAAATATAAACCAAATCAACATATTACTATTCAATAATTTAAATCGAATTCAAATTATTCCATCATCATTTAAAATTTAAATTCTTCTAATTTATTAATAAAACAAAATAATCGTTTTTTTAAATATCATTCGAAAATATATTCCCAAAAAATAAAATCAATACCTCCCAATTTATTTTGTTTACTAATATAATATCTAGTATATAAAAAACATCGATCAACATCACAATTCCTCAACAATAAAATAACCTCTAATCCGAAAAACCTTCCTACGTACTTACCACATCAATATATAGATTTAAAAATTAATCGTAATCTCTTTCAATCCACACCTCGTTAAATTTTATATATATAATCAATTCACGTATTTTTATTCTAATTCAAAATCGAAAAATTCTAAATAATCCTCGGACCATATACTACCAACACTAAATTGCTTTTCTATAAAACAATATTCCCTAAATTTAAAACCAAGGATTTCAATAATTCCAACAAAAATATAAATAACACATATCAATGCAAAATAATTATAATAAATACAAATATCCTTACCATATTTATATATATATATGTTAATACTATAAATATATATTTTAAATATTAAATATTACTATATGTATGATTCTTTTTATTATTATCATTATGTTAACAAATCTATATGCATTTGCAATTTGGTCGAACTTCCAATTCGATATCAAATCTAGGATCTTCAAGGAATCCCCAAAAAGAATTTGATATTTCCTCTTTCCCCAGGACATATCTTTGATAGATTCCTTTCCCACAATGACCAAAGTTGAACAAAGAACAACAGCCTGCACTGGATGAAGATGTCCTAATTCTGACAATTGGATTGCCTAACCCCCTCGATCTTCTAGATTCTTCCAGGAGGCTTTTATCTAACCTTCTTCCTCGCAGAGTTGGGATGTGTGGCGCCTTATGACAGCTCAAATTTACAGTAGGATCTCAAAAAGAAAAAACCTAGCATTTCAGGCACGACTTAAAAAAAGGATAACAGAAAACACTAGAAAACATTGAACAGCATACAAAGCTGTGATGAGAAAACACATATAGAAGCTGTAGAAACATGCCGAAAAGTTCATCATCTTATGCACCCGAAACTAGGTGATGTTCCTACTTAATGTGGGTCATTCATTCTTGACTTCGAACGGAAGCGATCACCCTGTGGGCCGCCGTGGGCGAGCCTTTTTGGCTCTGCCTAAACCTACAGATCTGTCGATCAGCAGTTCGCGGCTGGAAGGAACGTCGAAAGATTTGCTTACCGAAGATGTTGTGGTGAATATTCAGAACAAATTGTCTCGCCGGATCCCATACATTGCAGAACTTGCCGCGAATTGCCCTTTCTTTTGACACCCACTGATTTCGGGAGTCACATGGGTGCCGGAATCGACGAAAAGACTAGTTCCTCATGATGCATTGACAATGTTCCCTACCTTGACAGTTGACAACCATGCCATGCCCCAATGACATACTTTTTGCAAAGCTCCGTCGGAAGGTGTGGCTTGTTCTACGTGTTCAGGTCTTGTCCAAAACCTTCCGCACGACTAGCCAATTACCCCTTTGTTTAGTATTTTTTCCAATTCAGGATCTTTGGGTGCACACTTGGAAGTGACCGCAGTGCCTTCCATCTCTCCCCACGTTTCACACAAAAGAGTACAGTACCAAGAACAAACAGCTGCTCGCACCCAGGAAGATTTTTGTTGCTTCTGACTGTGTTGACACTCTCCAGAAACTGGCTTCACGTTTGAACGTCCTTTTTCATCTTCAAATCTGTCCCATGGTCGGGCCGCCCTTCTGGGTCGATGGTGAGTTGCGAGCTGCTTCAAGCGGCCGGTCCAATTGGTCTTCCGGCTATACCCGTTGCGGTGGTCCAATCGGTGGTCGCTCCGCCAGGGTCACAGGCCCCCAGACTGACTTTTGGCCCTCAAACATCCACTGGAAGGCAGAAATCGGACTCGGACTTGGATCGGATGGGGAAGTGGTGCGACCCGGACCGTTCAGTGGCCGAAGGCGGCTACGGGCCCGGACCCTCCGTTCACCGGTTTTGAGGGATCAGTCCACTGATCATTCCAATCCATCCTTGGCCTCCGGACCCGCACTGGTGTAATGAGACGTTGAAACCTCCAGTCATGCATCTGATCGGCTAAAGTGGAAATTGTAAAGGAACTTCAATTCAATTGGTGTTTGGCAAACTGGTAGAAAGCAGTCACCTGTGAATGTCCATGGCCCCTCACAGATTTCACGAGCATGTCAAATTATTTACATGCATTTCGGGTAACACAAAAAGTTAGTGCAAGCCAATCAATAGTTTAACTTCTTCAAGTAGTTGAGTATCATCCAACGAGGTTGTCCCTCAATGAGGTGCCAAACCAGGAGGCAGTTGTAGTGGCTCTGAAAGATAAATCTCTGTTTGTTCCAGATAGGGTCTGGCCTGGGCTATCTAAATCTAGGAACGACAAACTTCAGGTTCCTAAATCACATTGACAAATTATTCAAACTAATGCAGGCATTACCACCCATATTTCAATGTTGGCAAGCTTTGGAGGAGGCTGGCTTGAATGGACGAGTCAAATCCAATTCCCAACGACAACCAAAACTGGCTTTCCTCTTTATAACCTTGACATCGGGAATGCGTGGATCAAGCGCGATCGAGCATTTGCTTAGGGGCTTGATGCATTTCTTCATGATTCTCCTTCCTGATAGGATGAGTCCGACAAACCCTGATTCGTTGAATGTCAATATCGTACGGGCCCTACTGTACGGCGTACGGCCCCCAGTAGGTAGGGCCCCGGACTGGCATGCTTTGCAATCCTCTGTGGAGGTATCTTCCCACCTCTACACACGACACAAAACGGTCTTCACCGGTGATGAACAGAAGCATCCAAACTCCTCTGAGCTGCAATCAGATGTCGGTCCATGTTTCTAGAGGTCTTTGGTGCCTTGAAGTTCCCGCAGGAATGCAACGTGAAGAACACCTGTGCAGCTTCTCTGTTCCCCCCCTCTGAAAGCTGAAAAATACGAAACAAAAACACCACTGAAAATCACACATTCCCATCATCAACACATACTCATTGCCTCGACACACCCGCTTTTTGTTGCGCCCTCGACACACTATGCATCCTGAAAATTGGCCTCTTTCCCGTAGCTACATCTCTTCAGGTCACATGAAGGTTCCAACTCGACTCGAAAGACGAAGCCTCTCCATACACACCACCAGCTTCGTGATCGAACGCGGTGCTTTTTGTCGACGCCCCAGCCGGGCCGGTCGGACCGGTTCAGGCTTGACAATGGCAGATCGATCCTTTTCCGCCTCGATCAATTACACCCGTTTTTTCTTTTTTTTGGGGGGGAGGGAAGAAACAGTGTCACCTTCGACTCAAGTCTCTGACCTTGCGTGAGTTGAGTCAACTCTTCCCCAGCCACCAGCCACCACAAAGACTCCCCTCGCGCGGCGCTCCCGGTCCGCCCGGTCACCGTAAAGCCGAGGCGCTCCACGGGGCTCCAGGCGCGTCCGGGTCCCAGGTCCTCCGAGCCAAGTCATGGGAGACAGGTCTTCCCACAGGCGCTCACTTCATGCCACTTCATGGTCCTGGAAAATGAACAAGCTCTTTCTAGAGTGGGGGGAAGTTCATGCTCCATGTATTTGCCTTTTACCAGGGGGTAGATGGGGTGTCTTCCTCATCGAATAAGAATGCACACTCAAACGAGTGCTGAGGAATCCTCCAATCTTTGAAATAGTGGTGGTGGGTCTCCATAGGGGATCCTCCAACCACTCGTTCTGAACACCGGGTGCATATTTTTTGGAGACATACTCATAAACGATCCCTCAATGAAATGCTGGATAGCTGATGGATGTTGATTGCCTCATCCAGTTCCCTCTCCAACACGCAACTGGGCTGTTGCTTTGTGATGTGAGGTCTTTTAGGGGGTATTTGCCTTCACCTTCACACTGCAAGTGGAAGATGTGGAAGTGGAAACGTGAGGACTCCTTCAAGCAGCTAGGCATCTCCGAACGTCGAGACCTACAGACCGGGGTGCAAACGACTTTCGGGCGCAGGTGGCCAGGAGGCCCGGCGCCCAGACCGCGGTCGTTTCTAAAAGGCCTTCCTGGTAGTGACTGATGTGGCTTGAAACATCCGGCTCTAAGCCAGCATCACATAGAGCTGCCGGAGCCAGGAACCCGCACAGGCTCGAAGCGCATTGAGCTCAAGAGCTGTAGACCTTGGAGTGCTGTGGGCGAATGACCCCTACCTTACCCCACCGTGGCCTCAGTGATAGTTGGGTTAGCTAGTTGATTGACCCGCCATTGATAGGGGTTGACTGGAATAAACACTCAATATATTTGATCGAGGCGGTTTGAGTTTTTGCAAGCTTGAATAGGAATTGCTCGAAGCCTTCAAACATTGATAATTTTTGACAGAGCCAAAGCATGGAGTGGTTATCAACTCACCCCAGATTTACAGTAAAAGAGCACGTGTTTTCTTTCTTAAAGGACACCATAGTCAAGCAATTCTACGAACCGAATCATGTTTTATAATCAATCCTTTATAACATTCGTTCTTTTGTGTGTATATTCTCTTCAAAAGTCCTCCTTATCTTTCCATGGAATTTTGAGCACTGAACCGCAGGAATCGAATTGATTGGTCTGTTACATCACTCTACAAATGACTCCACGTTCTGTGGACGTGCTTTTATATGTCAGCAGAAAAAGACCTCCCACATCTGATTTCAATTATATAATATCTGATCTTCTGAAGTGGACTCACCAACCAAAGCTCATTGATCATTGGGACATTGATTCATGAACTTGATCAGACGATATACTGTAGTATAAATATAAGCCATATTTTATATATACATACAATCTGTCCTATGCATCTCAAACAGGAGGAAACAGGCAGAGGAAATGCCTGTTGAAGCGCCTGTCCAAGTCTGCGAGTCACCAGGAGTGGTCAGACCCCCTCTCCCCGGTTTCCCGTGGCGGCTCGGCTGGAGAACACCGAGGCTGTTGACTGAAGTGCAGATTACAGGGGTTGCCATCAAATCAACTAAAGTTAAGAATTGTTACACTCCCTGAAATAATCATGGCAGTAGACAATGACCCCCCATGAACGATGACCATCATCCTCCACAAGGTGGGTTTTCCACTTTCATGTGAGTGAAAAAACAACGTGTACTTCATGTATGACACTCTTCCTGGACATCCGGCTGGTACCCTGGTTCTCTGCTCTATGGTCCAACCTGCAGGGAAGGACTGCATGTGAAATCGACGGCAATATCCCTGCCGCAATCCGGCCACACCCTCATTGGCGAACTGCAACAGACAACTCATTCTCTCTTCCTTAGCACTGTGGCAGTATTAACGGCTCAAAATGGTCAAGAAGAACAAATTGTGATAAATGGTCCAGGTCCCCATCTTTTCTACATCTGATCTTTGACAAACGCTGCCTTCTAAGTTTCACCCAAACCGCCCAAACCATACCCCACCTCACTTCCCGTGCAAAAGAAACCCTCTGAGCGCCCTAACACTCGTCAGCTCCAAGCTCCACAGGGCGCCAGGCCTCACCCAAGCTTGAATGACCGTTGGAACGACCGCGATGACATGGAGAACGATCAGTTGATCAAAGTTCATTTAGAACTTAGAGACTTAGAACATTTCTTGATACTTAGAGAACTGAGAGACTTAGAACTTACAGACTTATTTCGTGGTTGATGTGGACAATGCGAGGTCGATAACGTCCTCTCAGAGGTGACGTCAACACACACGGCACTTCATGTCCCGGACGAAACGTCCGGCGAGCATGGCATGAGTGGGAGGCCACTTGCTATTCGGGAGTGTTTGGGTTTGAACCACCACCGTGATTGCTGAAACATGGGTCTTGCATATTTACATACAACAATCTTGAGAGTACCATAAACTACCGTACGGATTGGAAACCGTACCCTTTTTTGCAGGTTCTCTTGTCAAATTCATGGGTAAACGCAGTGCCTTGTCATGCGTTTTGCCGAAATTACACCACCGTAGACCCCAAACAGTTTGTGTTTTTCAAAATCGAAACTAGAGCTTGCGACGTCCAGAGCTGGGAGACAAAGGATTCCGAGGCAGAGGCGGCCACAGCAGCCCAGAGCTGGGAGACGAACGTGAAGGATTGCAAGGCAGAGACGGACACAGCAGTACAGAGCGGGCGGACACATCTTAACAACGAATTGAGAAGCCCTAACAGTAAACCTTTTGGGGAATTATTCTTCAAGTGCGAACATGATGCTGGTCATGCTGCTCAATCAGCAAGGAGCTGACCACGTGAGGACAAGAAATAGAAGCATGAGGAGGGAAGGATGTGACATGAAATTGATTTTTGGTGCCTGACGCATGCCCTCCGTCCCAACTGAACAGAGAGATCGCTGCCACGCCGCCGAAATCCAATCCGGTCATTCATCCAACGCTTGCCCGAAAAGGAAAACAAAGCTGAGAGAGTTACACAGTGTGGCAGGAATGCACTCCCGGAGACAGTCACGCGGCAGAAAACAGCAGTGCAGGCACCAAACCTGAAAGACAAAAAGAAAGAAGTCGCATGGGAGACAAATGAATCTTCATGGCCAACGGACAAGGGGGGACACCACCAGTGACAGACCTGAAAGACAAATGAATAGAAATGCTACATGGCACCAGCAGTGACGGACCTGGGAGACAAATGAATAGAAATGCTTCATGGCCAATAGACAAGGACACACCAGTGACAGACCTGGGAGACAAAAGAATAGAAATGCTACATGGCCAGCGGAAAAGGGCGGACATCACCAGTGACAGGCCTGGGAGACACATGAATAGAAATGCTGCATGACCAACGGACAAGGGCGGACACCAGCAGTGACAGACCTGGGAAATGAATCGAAATGCTGCATGGCCAGCGGAAAAGAGAGGACACTGGCAGTGACAGACCTGGGAGACAAATGAATAGAAATGCTACATGGCCAACGGAAAAGGGCGGACACCAGCAGTGACAGACCTGGGAGACAAATCAATAGAAACAGCAGAAAAGGGCGGACACCACCAGTGGACAAATGAATAGAAATGCTGCATGGCCAGCGGAAAAGGGCGGACACCACCATTGACAGACCTGGGAGACAAATGAATAGAATGCTGCATTGCCTGCAGAAAAGGGCGGACACCAGCAGTGACAGGCCTGGAGACAAATGAATAGAAATGCTGCATCGCCAGCGGAAAAGGGCGGACAGTAGCAGTGACAGACCTGGGAGACAAATGAATAGAAATGTTGCATGGCCAAAGGAAGAGGGCGGACACCACCAATGACAGACCTGGGAGACAAATGAATAGAAATGCTACATGGCCAGCGGAAAAGGGCGGACACCAGCAGCAACAGACCTGGGAGACAAACGAATAGAAATGCTACATGGCCAGCGGAAAAGGGC